TACCTTTGCTTAAATCCAAATTACCGGAAAGGTATAGAATTTATAAATATTTATTAAATATTTAATGATTTTAAATTTAATTTCTAAAAAAAAATATATATATATTAAATTTATAGATATATCAAAGGTAAATTTTCACCTATTTGCATCAAATTTTTTTTCTTGCAAAAAAAATCGATAGTAATAATCAAAATTATTATTATAATAATTATTTTGTTGACAGAGAATAAAATAAGTAACTGAATTTTCTCCGATTGCTTTGATTAAATATCACATCAGATTTTCATTCTATTAAATTATTAAATCATTTTAACCAATATTCGTAAATGATCACTGAAACTGATCAATTTGTGCAACAATCGATTTCAAAAAAATTTCTTTCACGCGTTATTATTCTTTTTTATATTTTTTTTAAATATTTTATCATGTTATCTAGTACTGCCACGACAGAAGAGGAAGACATATCCCTTGAAATTCAACTACAAATAATAGAAAACTTTTTTGAAAAGAATACAAATTGGTTATTGATCAAGTTTCTTAATTATAGAGCGAAAGATGATGAGTTTACTTACGATAAAAGAAAGGAGCATTTGTTGTATAAGAGTGTTCTAAGCCTATTATCTAAGGATTATGCACAAGCTCAAAAATATCTCTCTAGTTTTGAAGTTAAGTATTGACTTTGTTTCAGATTAGTGGGTTCAAGGACTAGAGTACATTTCTGTCCCAAGATAATTACGTGACGTATTGACAAATCCCAAGTAGCTAGCTACTTTCGCACTGGCTGGTAATAGTAAAGTTCGCCTTCCCTCGGTCGTCCTTAAATAGGCATATGCTATTGCCATAACGCAACTGGATGCTTACGTACCAACTAGTTATCAGACTTCATGTCATGTTATGGTCTACCCTTGTTTTTCTGTCTAATGGGTTATATGATAGTTCATAAAATATTATTTAATCTTATACTAACATCCTGTTTTTTCCTGGCAAAAAAGAATGAGAAGACTTCCGAAGTTGTAAACATTTTTTGGAACTCAATTGACAAAAAACTCTGTGATTCCAAAATTGAACATGTAGAAGTTGGTTTCCTAAACATTTTCAATTTTTTGCACATATTAACCATGATTTTATGTCAACCCACTTAATTGATTTGTTGTTATGAACAGACTAATTACGACCTGGGCATTGCTACCGAAGTGACTCAACAAATGGAAACATATATAAAATCATCAACTACCAGAGTTACAAAGCGTTTTTCAAACAGCTGTCAAACAAATCCTTTGAAACACTTAGCACAGGTCAGCACTTGCTATTATTAGTATTCAAAAATTGTGATGTTTGACATAGCAAGTATCTTTCCTTTTAATATTTGACTCGATATCATAAACAAAAGCATTGAATTGGGAGTAGAAGAGACTATTCTGAATCAATTTCTAATTCATCTGAAGAAGAGGACCATGTTGATGATGAAACCCATAAGAGATCAAAGAGAAAAGTTGGTAATGATTCTGAAGGCCTACAAGAGTCAATGGAAGATGATTTATATTTCGTTTCAGAACATGTTCCATGTTTTGGGCTGGACTTTAATGAAGTATGTATTCTTATACTTACTATTACTTGCAAATATGAAAGAACTTCTAATGATTATCATTATTACAAAAATAGGTTTTAAATCATCATGTTAACCGAGAAATTTTAGAAATTTATAATAATGCGAAGCAATGGTTATATCTTTTTTAAGTTTTTTTTTTTAAAGTACTAATACTAAATATGACACATTAATTATCTAGTGATCCCATCAAAATGGGGGTAATAAACCTTGAAGATATTAAAAAAAATCAAACAAGACCATTTAAAGTGATATCAGAAATATTTAAGAAAGACTTCAGAAATAATGATATCAATTCAAAGGTGAAGATGATGCTAAGAGAAATAGGAGATATTTCAGATATTTCTGACGCAAAAGACTTTCTATCTAAATACATCCAAGAATTGTTATCATTTAACTTTGATACAGCTTAGTAACTCAAAGTTTCATTGTTTCAATAGTCCATGTATTGTAAGGATTGTAATAATATAAATAATTCTATAACCTGATGTTAAGCAATTATTGAAATAATATTTTCTCTAATTTTAGCATTAGATACTTTAGTCTTAATGAAACTTATTTTTAGCAATCATTATCAGAAAATCACATAGCATCAATTACATACATACCCATTTTCATGAATTTATTTCGCAGTAAGAATTACTCGGTAAATATTAACAGGTAATTACTTTTTTTTGTTTAATGAAATTTTTGCACATTATTCTTAAGATTAATACGCAATTTTATTTTCATTAATAGCACCCTTACTGCAAACAAAGATCGTAGGAACTTCGAAAATGACTCGAAAATGTGACTTGATTTTATCCCTGACATCAAACTTATCTATTCCAAAAGAAATGTAGAAATTATAGTGGTAGAACACACAAAGAATGCATCTAGTGATGGATGAAAGAAGAATATAGATGATACAAAAAAAATTATCAGAATGATGCATGATCAAATAACAAAGATACACAAGCTTTTTGAAGATATTGAGAGAGATAACGATATAAAAGAGATTGAAGTATACGGGGTTATTATATCAAGTAAGTAATGCATAATGACTATAATAACTAATATTTAAAGACTAAGTTTTTTTTTATAATTTTAGAATTAGAAGTATGAGTTTATGTCATACACCTATCTGCTCCAGAACTATGTCTTTTTTATAAAATATTTAGTTATGAATTACCAAAAACAGTTCATGATTTCAATGTACTTAGTAATGCACTTAGTTATTTGATTCGATTTCGTGTAAGTTTACTTCTCTAAATTTTTATTTTAAGATATTATTTTTTTTTTATTAACAAAATTCTAAAATTTTTGTGTAGAAAATTGTTGACTACAACTTTCAAAGGTACAATAATATTCTCAAGAAAGAACCATTAACGCCAACTCAGCAGATCCAGTGGGTTGTTAGGATTAAAAATTCTCCGCATTCAATAAATGAAGAATTAAAAGCAAAGAGAAGAAAAGAAAATAAAAAGGTACAAACAGCTATTAAGGAAATTGTTAAGGTCAAAAATGGTAGAGGTCGAAAATCAAATAAATAATGTATAGCATAACCTTTGTAAATTAATTTGTAGAATTATGATTGTACTGTTTTCACCCAAACAATCAAATAAAAATGAATTTGTATTTATTAGAGTATACTATTGCTAAATCAGCTAAAATCGCTAAAAACAGTATAAATCAATAAAATCATTATATTCTGTTATAATCTAGCAAAATGCTAATATGAATTTAGATAGTAATGTCTACTATAAGCTTTGTTCGCCTGATCGTGATGATAGATATAATGAGATAATAAAAGCAATACACCTTTTACAATATAAACATGATAATGAAACACCAGAAATGTGGTATTCTCGTATTCGTGGTCCATTTAGAAAAATACTTGAAGAGAACCCAGAAATATTTTCTAAGAATGGATATATTCGCATGTATGCAAAGTTTTATGAAGATGGTAAAGAGTTTCATCCTAGCGGATATCTAATAAATTATATATATTGTAGTGTGTGTGACTTCCTAGTATTCATCCCTGAAAGGCTTATAGGTGAATTTCTCTATCGAGATGGTCACTTGAAGAGATGTATTACTAGAGTTACTAATTCAATCGAATATGTAAAAAGAAAAGAAATTCTCCAAGCTATTGATAGAAGGAAATTTCAGATCTGGCAGTATAAACAGTATATATTACAAGAAGAGGCTAAAATGAAGCGTCTTCAGCTATAGCTTTTATCCCAATCTACTTCACATTCGGAAAAGGATAAATTGGCATCAGTATCATATGATTATGATGGTCATTCAACTGGCTATAAAGCTTACCTTTCAGCTAAAGCAACTATGATAAAAAATACTATGCCAAGTACTCCAAATTTTGAGCCAGCTAATATTTTACCTGCCAGGCAAGAAATAGTTTTGCCAACTTCTTATCAATCATCAAATTGCAAAAGTAATACAAGTGAAATATTTATCTTGTCTCGATATGCAAAACAAAATAACTTACTACTATCTATAAATAATCTTAATCAGCCCGCATTAAGATTGAAAGATGGGACAAAAATTACATTTGTTTAACTGACTTATTCTGAGAAATATATTAATTATAAACTATTGCTTTCAATTGAAGATTAATATCATTTAGCCAAATGTGTAATGTATAACATTCTTAATTTTTTTGCGCTATATAATCTGCATACATGATCGCCTAGTATAATTATGAAATGTACTACCTGCGGGATAAAATCGTTATGCATGTTCTGCCTATTCTGAGTTAAATCCTAACTATTTTAGTGAAGTATTACAGGAAGATTTATGAAGCGTTCTTGAGGATTCTTGATTCCTAAATACTACTATAATTATAGCTTTGAAAATTTCTATGCAACAGTTATTTAACGAGCTTACAGAAATTATAAGAAGAGGCCAGTTTCATTAGCAAAACAAGTTTGGGAGGTGATGAGGAATGATGGTACTCCTGACAGGTGGAAGTATTTAGGTATTATTCCTTATGGTAAGGCTTATTATTATATTAATAAAAAACTCATGAAATTTAACTGGAAAAGTGATTATTTTAATATGCTATATAATCATATCCTTTATTCTCCTATAACTTGGGCGGAAGAGAAAAAAAATCAATTATGATACTGATTAGGTTGGGTGCTCTTTGATCATGCTAAAAACACATTACAACAAAAAGGTTATATACCAAAGTGGTATACCATGATAAAATGGGCACAAAATCCCGAATATTATCTTAATACTGAAAAAAATCCAGTCAGTACACTAGTAATCAGAATGGAAATATTAGCGCAACTCGATTTACATATTAATATCTCGCCTAACAGTAATTGGTGGTATAAAGATAAAGCATCCCGAGAGCGTCTGAGCCAGCTTAAAATGTTTCCTAATACCATATCTTATAAAATAGAGCTAATCCATAAAAAATATTACCTGAAGGAGAAAATCTATCTATAGATTTTTAAAATATGATCGAAGTGATATATAAATAAAAAATGGTTCTATATGTAGAAATGTATTATATTAGCTTCATATTTGCTTGCATCTAACAGACAGCCAATGCATATAGGCATGTGCGATAACCATGTAACTATCTACTTGTGTGATAATATAATTTCACACATAAATCGATCCCCTCAAAAAATATTTTTTTTTTCTCTTACGATGTTCTAGAAAAATAATATATTAACTGATATGTATATTTGCTCGCCTCTGGCTGAGAGACAGACTATTTCTACTATTATGAGATTTTCCCATTCTGACTGAAATACATTATATAACGTTGCCAGGTCATAGTTTAAGTATACGGATGAAAATCTATATGCATTATCCCCAATGCCTTTCTAAATATCGAGATCATCAATGCGCATCCTATATGCCCTTATTTTTGAACACAAAATTTTGGCGTAAAAGCATTGCATATTCTTTTGCTTCGATAGAGAGATGTAAATGAGAAAATACAAATATTAAAAGGGCATTACAGTGAAATTATTACGCCTTTACTTAATTTTTTTTACTTTGCTTAGCAAGCTTTATACTAACATTCAACTTTTATTTTATCAAAATATGAAAGAATTCCTTTTAACAAGAGAACCCCTTGATATTGTCAGAATTTTCACAGCGCTATTTGTACGAGTTGAGCAAGGTAAATAGACAGGCGTTCTTGAAAAGGAGGTGAAGAACTTTAACAATGTTTTGGAGCGAGTTTTGGAACGAGCTCCTCAAAGAATATTGAACGGATAAAGAAGCTTGGAAGTTTTAGTACCGGAAAAAAATTGGCGAAACAGGTAAGGCGATAAACTATTTTTTCATGATGAATATGTGGATATGATGTATTTTTTTAGGTTTTCTCACATATATATATATTAGTGAATGCGCTGTGTCCGTCGTGATGCTATCACTTCCGCATGGCAGTAACTAATTTTATATATATACCCAGCGAGTGCGCTTTTTGGCTGACTTACTGCTAGCATTTTGATATTTTTTTATGAAAACGAAAACCTAATCTGATCCTACGTAGGAATATTCCACTTTAATCTATCATAATAACATTAAGCCTAAGTCAAGTTAACTATATTTAGGTAGCAACTGCGTTCGAAGATTTATGCTCTCTTACAGGAATGAAAGCTTTGGTAATTGATGCTGAAACATGGCTTAATGACGTGAATACAAATTTAGAACTTTTAAAATATGATGTTGATCAGCTTAAAAGTAAAAGTGTCAGCTATACAAAAACTATGTAGGAAAGGATTGGTACGGAATTAGAGAAAGTAAATATCGAGACTCTTGGATTTGATCATCCAATATGCTCTGGAGTACTTAATATTAAATCAGAACTTTTTACAGAGATGCCTGGATCACTTTGTGATATTTTTAAGGAACCCTTCAAGAAATACAGGTTAGATCATAATGATACGATAATAGATACTTGTAAAGAGTTTATTCATAATGAAGAGTCAAAAATTAATTTGGATGAAGATTTGCGTGATGTGGAATTTGAAAAATGGCTAGATACTTCTGAAAAGCTTCAAGAAATAATAAGGCGAATACTAGAGTCTTTGTAAGTTTATTTTTTTGTTTGAGATTTCATCTAATAATATACTATTGCTCATGAATAATGTGTGAAT